ACAAGGATCGGGGTGGTTGGATGGGTTGAGGGTTCTGAGGGGGGCAGTCAGGGGACGAGAAGTGGGAGGGGGACAGACTGTTTGGAGAGGCACAGCCTTCCCTACCCGGCCCTCCATACAGTTGCACAACCCTGATATGGCCCTTGGGCCAAAAAGTTTGCCCACCTCGATCTACAATAAGAACAGAAACAAGAGAATTGCCACAGCCTCTAGTCAGCACCAGCAGTGTTCAGGATTCAGATGTTTAGCTGGAAGTAGGCAATTACAGAAAAATCTGCCCATCAGAAATGTTTCTGCCAACAAACTCAAGTTAGAGTTTGGCTTATTCTCCCAGAAACATGGGGGTTTAGCTCCTTTCCAAATTTTGTTTTTATCCTATTTAATGTAACTGTAGATAAGGTGCCACAAGTACTCTTGTTCTTTTTGCGGATACAGACTAACACGGCTGCTACTCTGAAACCTGTAGATATTCTTGTTAGCCACATAAATGTCCAATCTATTTTTTTTTTCTGCTGAGCTAACCGCCTCAGACAAAAACTTTACGCCCATGGAATAGTGGAGTAAAGGACGAGGAGTCAAGTTTATTTTGCAGACTTAGGTTCACAAGCCACTCCCCCAGGGGAGTACTAAAGCTAGAGCTGTTCACAGTTTGGTGTGCAGAGCATGGACAGCAGGTGCTATGCCCTGTGTGGCTCTGGCACATTCAACAGCTTCACTGATAACACAGGTGTCGTGTAACAGAGAGCCAGACTGTAGCTGAGGCACAGCCAACATGTCTGTCACAGTGGTTTCAAGACAGGGCACATGTCAATGAAGGGTTGGCTGACCATGCATTATGTGACGCCCTACTGGAGACAATATAAAGGAAGGCTCCTGGCTCAATCTTGGGAAGATGAGGATCGAGGAAAGATCCTGAGGGAAGTCCCTTCATGGGAGCAAGGCAGAAGGCCTAGGGGACAGCCAGGAAAGGCTAGGCAGAAGGATGTGTCCTTTCCCTTCCCAGCTTGCGGAAAGCAAGTTAGGCCTCCATTACCCAGTATTTTGTGCATCTTTGAGTCTTTCTGCAACTTCTGCTTTACTAAAACCAGCCCTAAAGAAAGAGACTTGGACCTGAACTTGAAAGTTTGGGCGTTCTTTTGGCTGCCCAGTGGTAAATCTGCCCACCAGATTAAACGCAGCTGCTGCAGTGTTTAGCACTGAGGCATCTAGAAAAGACTGACAATCATTTTCTGCAATGACACTAGGGTTTTCTATGTGAACTAAAAAAATCTCCAGGTTTCCCCATTTAGACTCTGAGCTCGGCAGACTTTGCTGAGAATAGATCATTAAGGCGGAAGCATGTTTGGCAACTACTTTTATTAAACCTCTCTCATCTCACCTGCTGGGTCTTTATCTTCAGTGATGACAAGAGGTGTTTCTGCTTTTGCTGCTTTGGGCTTTCTTCCCCTTCGTGGAGTCCTCCTGGAGTCTACGTTGGCACCAGCACCTTCGCCAGTCACAGGCTGATCAGCAATGGGAGCCTCTGCAGGCTTCTCTGGAGTTGCATCATTTTGGCTTGTCTGAGGGACTCCTTTGGCTTGTTCCAGGTGACTCAACAGATGTTCTGCAGGCGTGTATGTGGGGGAAACACAGTCATGTAACATGTAGACGGCTCCAGCACCAAAACTTATAATTAGATCTCCTTTATTGAACTGAACCTTGCCTAGATCAAGTATTTCACTGCAGTTAAAACACCTTTCTAACTAAAAGTACGCTCTCTATTATAAACTAAATTGATCATTGAGATGGATTGAAATTTCAGAGGTTTTAATACTTGTTATTAAATTGGTGAGTGCGTGCTCAGGTCCCCCTTCTGAGCCACTCTGCAGAGGATATGAATTGTTACACACCCCAACTACAGAACCTTGCCTTTTTAGCTCAAGTTGTAGCAGTTCATACTTTTTGCTCTGAAGATTCCTGGTTCAATGCCTGGTGTATCAGCCAAGATGATTACATTATATTTTACTGAACAGATCTATGGCCCACTGATGTACCTCAATGATTTAACAGCGTGCCATTTTTAAAAATGACTTAGTAGCCTAAGTTTCATTGAAAGTCAATGGGACCACCACTGCTAAGCCTTTTAGGTGCTCAGAAATTATGCTCAATAGCTATAAACACAAAGTATGAAAATGACAAGTTCCATTAGCTTTTACTTATAGTGTCGTTCAGCTCCAATCACTTTGTTGATAACAACACTGAGCATAAGCCTGTCACTAATTTTGCACCATTTTGCGTATACAATTCCCTATCCTTTGAGAGTCTTAATATTAATCTACCATATGTTATACAAGTGTTTCTTTCATTCCAGATCCAATAACACAAACATTTTATCAGACAGGATGCCTACAGTCAATATCAGTTGCTACTGCAGTTTTACTTTTTACTCCCTTAGGATCGGGGGGGACGGGGGGGGGAATCTACAAAAGTGTAATTCATGTTATTGTGAAGCCACCTCCCTACCCATAATCTGTTGTCTTGGAAGGACAGAACTTCCAGAATATTTCTGGGTATATTTTTTATACGAATTCCATACTCCCCTTACCTGTCAGTAGCTGAGGTTCCGGGAAAACAGATGAACACACTTTACATGTCCACTGGCTGGACTCCGCTTCAAGGGTCCCAGTACTCTCTGGAGCGCTCACTAGGACATGCCAAGGAGAAATTATTACAAGTTTTTAAAATGAAGACAGCAAACCCTTCAGCAACTTTCTGAGATTTACTATCTTGTTTATCCTGTAAGGAAGTCCCCAGAACAGCAGATTACAATCAATCAGTCATGAAAGACCCCAGGAGGCAGCTGCTGCTATCTTGGCACTAGTATTGTAGTCTGGTAAAGAACAGGAGGGATAAAAACCACACCTCCTCAGATACTTTAAGATGTACAAAATGCCAGAAATGACACTCAAAGACTAATGTTTACTCCATGAGAAGGCTGCAAACAGGACTTTCTCATACCAACATTTAAGGAGACAAAACAGAAACTGGAAAAAAAAATCAGGAGAGATTTATGAGGTGGGAGCCTTCCTATGTCTCATCTGAGTTGTAGATTGGATCTCCTTCTCCCTAAATTAAGTGGAGATGAAAGAAACAATACAAAAAGCACACCTGGAGCAACCAATCTTGGGCACCTTCAAAACCGGAGTTACCCAGCTCTGGACAAACTGGGGACAGAGACTGAACAAAGTACTGTCTGAAAAGCATCATGGAAACACTAACATTTGGGTTAAAGTAAATAAGGGTGGTGATAAGGAAATCACATATTTGAACAGTTTAGTGAGCTGGATATTTTGCCAGACGAGCATATTGATGTTTTGCTTAAGCAACTTCCCAGCTCTTACATACAAAGAAAGAAAAGTAGGACGTTATTTTAAGTAACCATGCGACACATAATGCTATTATGGATTTTTCAGGGAAAAGGAAGGTAACAGAATCAGGAAAACTGTTAAATAACTGTGCACTGTGAACAGAGATTAAGTTCTAAACAGGTCATCTAAGGATCCATCAGGCGGACCTGAGAAATCTAGAACATTCTGCAGATTGTTTAAGATCTCCAAAGTTGAATATTTCACAATCTATTGAAATCCCACAGACTGCCATGTGGGTAGCCAGGAATCCCAAGGGCCATATTCCATTTTGGAAACACATTCCCATTTCCAACACAGAATATTGCAGAAGCTTAATTCCATGAAAATGTCTTGAGTCTTATATTTTGTCCCAATTGTGGATGAAAAATTTTCTGAAAAATTTAAATCTCTCACAGAACTGAATTTCAGTTTCCTGTCCAGCTCTACATTCTGGCAATAACAGTACTGGAACTAACAAAGGGGGGATGTTCTGGTGGAGTGTTTTACACTTCTGCAACCAAGAAAATGACATCTTTAATGTTAATATGTAAAAGTTAGCGTAACTACTTTTCAAAGAACAATCCCAGATGATCTCTTTTTGATCTGGATTCCAGGATCATGAATGTACCCTGATTTGGGTTTTTAGTGTGGCAATTTCTAAAAGTTTAATGCTTTTAAAAAATTTTCTTTGCCCCAGTTACCAAAGATTAGATTTCTTTTTTCTGCTTCATGCCTATGGGAAGTGGGAACCAATCTTTATAACACATTTAGGTTTTCCAAATGATCTGTTCTTTATCAATATTATCCACCTGGCTTACAAGTGTATTTAAGATTTTTAACTACATCCTTCTACTTTAGCCAACACAAGATTCAGGGGTAACCACTGTTCTTGCCATCTCCAAAATGGCGTTGCTCCCACTCTGCTATATCTTTTTGGTTTTCTTCCTGTATTCTACCACATTTCAGATATTATGTCTTCCAAAAAAAAAGAGGTAATATGAAAAAAAAACAAATTAAAAACAGTCAGTGGCATTTAGGATAAGAAACATTTGCTTGAAAAAGTTTCCATGTCCCTTCACTCCCTTTTTTATCTTCAGTGGATTTTTAGGCACAGCACCCGGGAAGGGAAAATCCATAGACTTAAATTCTCTCCCCATTAACTATCAAAGATGGATTAAGCGCTTACATATTTACTGTACGTCACATAATCATGATGTTTCCATCACCGCAGAAACACTGGGCACTGAGCAGTTCCTTTGCTCCATCCAGATCTGCCCTTCAACTGTCACTATTGGCTCCATACAGCACAGACAGGAACAGAGGATGAAATATTTTATTTACCTGCAAAGTCAGCTACAGGCACACTGGACTTCTTGATTTTTTTAAGAGACAAGACTGCACTGGGAGGCTTTGAAGAGATTTTGTTCCCTTCCTTGTCGCATTCCATCACTACTAAGCATATATCTGCGGTGAAGGAAAAAATAGTTCCTTTTTGTTATTTTCCCAATATCTGACTGGTATCCTTGCTGTGGTGCCAGTGTGACATATGTGGGTGCTGCAGGCTAGGCCACCCAGCAGGTCTTCGACAACTTACTCTGCGAGAGAGCCTAATCAAGGCAAAACATTACGTATGCCTGAATTCTGCAGAATAGCTTCCAGTTTAGAATCCGGGATACAGCGGCATCGCACAGCAGAAGGTGTGCACTCAGGATGCAAACACATGGATTTCACTGTGTATGGATATACTACCTTACAGAGGTATGTACGGTCTCCATATTTTCATTCGACAACAAAGATCACTAACACTATATAAGCCACCAATGCTTTGAAGTCATTTGGAAGGGATTAACCTACAAATGTATATATTCATTCCAATATTTAGCACAGACTTGAAGCTTGATCTAAGCTAATCAGAAAACTTGAACAGAGGATATTTGATTTAATCTCGCAACACATTCACAAGATTAACCAACCCTGGTGCTTGTTTGCTCCGAAAAAACCAACCAAACAAAAGGTAGGCTTTCAATTTACACCACTGAGAAACATCTTGGGGGACCAAAACTACTTTGCCAGAATGACCTAAATACCAATCAGCTTTACGGCACTTCAGATTGCCTGCTGCACTGTCAAGAACACAAAGTTACCAAGCACACTGATGGTGCTGGCACATCACTAAGCAATCGTGGCTACATTCATAATCCTGGAAATTTTTCTCAGCCCAGGAACCACACTGTACATTAAAGTATTCTCAATTAAACAGCAACAATAACACTAGAAGTGGTTTTTTTGGTTGCAGAAATGTAAAGGTAAAAGAGAATTAAGGAGGAAATGATTATTATTTATATTACCATAGCACAAAGCATAGAAGCTTTAACATCAATTTAAAGAACTCTACCAAAGCTGTCTACCTTCCTTTGCAGAAGCTCGAGTAATCATGAGGAACAAAAGCTCAGTCTGAACTCATCTCCTTGCTTCACAGGGCTCTACACAAGACTTCCGAAGGCGTATGTAATTGCTCTCAATTGTACAACACTCAATGGCAAGGACAGAAAGCTTCGTTGCAATTAAAAGAAAAGACGACTGCTTCTCAGGTGATCTATTTATGTGTTTGCACTGTGCTGACATTTGAATTTCTTTGGGAAGAGACTGGAAAGCTCTTCCATGAAGAAACGTTTTGATGAAATTACTGATTCTGCAGCTAACGACCATTCCTCCAGTCTTGGGTCTCAAACTGCTGCAGAACCAATTAGGACATGCATCTTTTTTTAAAGACTCAGATATCTCTTGGTGCAGAACTTAGGCTTTTTTCTTGTAGGGCAGAAATGCATCTGAGAGTCCAATTTTTTACACAATTTACAAATTCGGGGCCAGATCCTCCAAGGTACTGAGCACCCTCAACTGCCACTGAGCTCAGGGGGAGGATCAGCACCTAGTTGGACTGGGCCCTTAGGGAAGAAGAAAAAGGCCCCCAAAACGTACCATTGGCAATACTAGTGACCTGCTTCAGCACTGGCTTTTCCATTTTTTTGGCGTAAAAAGCTGCATACCACACTCGCAGCTCAGTTCCTGGTGGGATGTCCCGGGAGGTGGTGAAGTAAATATCATTGTCATGCTGGAAGGCAGTCAGGTTCTGGTGTTCATATTCAGTGGCTGCTCTCACCATCATCATCCAATTACAGTCATCTTCATTAGAGGTATCAAAATAAACCAGGGGCCCATCCTTCTGGAAAACCTGTGAGCCACCCATACAAACAAATGCATATATATACAAACATAATAAATAATAAAATTAGAGCTGTCAAGCAATTAAAAAAAAATAATCGTGATTAATTGCGCAATTAAAAAAATTAATTGCAATTAATCGCACTGTTAAACAATAATAGAATACCATTTATTTAAATAAATGTGATGTTTTCTACATTTCCAAATATATTGATTTCAATTACAATACACAAAGTGTACAGTGCTCACTTTATATTTATTTTTGATTACAAATATTTGCACTGTAAAAAAAAATAATATTTTTCAATTCACCTAATACAAGTACTGTAGTGCAATCTCTCTTTATCATGAAATTTGAACTTACAAATGTAGAATTATGCACAAAAAATAACTGCATTCAAAAAACAAAACAATGTAAAACTTCAGAGCCTACAAGTCCACTCAGTCCTACTTCTTGTTCAGCCAATTGCTCAGACAAACAAGTTTGCTTATATTTGCAGGAGATAATGCTGCCCTCTTCTTGTTTACAATGTCACTTGAAAGTGAGAATAGGCGTTCGCATCGCACTGCTGTAGCTGGCGATGCAAGATATTCAGTGCCACATGCGCTAAAGATTCATATGTCCCTTCATGCTTCAACCACCATTCCAGAGGACATGCATCCATGTTGATGACGGGTTCTGCTTGATAACGATGCAAAGCAGTGCGGACCGACGCATGTTCATTTTCATCATCTGAGTCAGATGCCACCTGCATAAGGTTGGTTTTCTTTTTTGGGGGTTCAAGTTCTGTAGTTTCTGCATCAGAGTGTTGGTCTTTTAAGACTTTTGGAAGCATGCTCCACACCTTGACCTCTCAGATTTTGGAAGGCACTTCAGATTCTTAAACTCTGGGTCGAGTGCTGTAACTATCTTTAGAAATCTCACATTGGTACCTTCTTTGCATTTTGTCAAATCTGCAGTGAAAGTGCTCTTAAAATGAACAACATGTGCTGGGTCATCATCCGAGACTGCTATAACATGAAATATATGGCAGAATGCAGGTAAAACAGCAGGAGACAGACAATTCTCCCCCAAGGAGTTCACTAATTTAATTAACACATTTTTTAACGAGCATCATCAGCATAGAAGCATGTCCTCTGGAATGGTGGGCAAAGCATGAAGGGGTATACGAATGTTCAGCATATCTGGCATGTAAATACCTTGCAATGCCAGCTACAAAAGTGCCATGTGAATGCCTGTTCTCACTTTCTGGTGACATTGTAAATAAGAAGCAGGCAGCATTATCTCTTGTAAATATAAACAAACTTGTTCTCTGAGCATGGCTGAATAACAAGCAGGACTGAGTGGATTTGTAGGCTCTAAAGTTTTACATTGTTTTGTTTTTGAGCTCAGTTATGTAATAAAAGAAATCTACATTTGTAAGTTTCACTTTCACAATGAAGGGAACGCATTATAGTACTTGTATGAGGTGAATTGAAAAATACTATTTCTTTTGTTTATCATTTTTACAATGCAAATATTTGTAATAAAAATAATAATATAAAGCGAGCACTGTCAACTTTGTATACTGTGTTGTAATTGAAATCAATACATTTAAAAATGTAGACAAAAATCCAAAATACTTAATAAATTTCAATTGGTATTCTATTGTTTAAGAGTGCGACTAAACTGCGATTAATCGTGATTAATTTTTTTGAGTTAATTGCATGAGTTAACTGTGATTCATTGACAGCCCTATAACACATTATTGTTATTAATAATAAATAAGTGTGTATTTAGTGCCTTGCTGGTGCCTTTCATCCATGGGTCTGAAAACGCTTTAGAAACAAAGCAAGCCTCAACACTCCTGCAAGGTACGCGTCACATATGCTTTCAGATGTGTAAACTGAGGCACAAAGCTTGCACAAGGTCAAACAGAAAGCTAGTGGCAAAGTGGGAGAAGATCCCAGGGAGTTCTGACTCAAAGTAAGCTGCTTTAGCCTCTAGATCACAATTCCTCCCTCAAAACAGAAATGTCATTTAACTTGTTTACCTATTAAGGGTAAGGGAAAAAATCCTGAACACTTATTACCCTTGAATTTGGTTTCTAGATCTTTATTGCTGAATCAGATATTACTGCGAAGGGAAGACTGGATTGAAACACCCAAAGTAGTTTTTCACTGGAACTTTTCAAGGGGAGAGAATGAAACAAAAATGACATAGACATAGAATATCGGGGTCGGAAGGGATCTCAGGAGGTCATCTAGTCCAACCCCCTGCTCAAAGCAGGACTAATCCCCAGACAGATTTTTGCCCTAGATCCCTAAATGGCCCCCTCAAGGATTGAACTCACAACCCTGAGTTTAGCAGGCCAATGCTCAAACCACTGAGCTATCCCTCCCCTCCACAAGGTCACACAGAAAGCTAGTGGCAAAGTGGGAGAAGATCCCAGGAGTTCTTCCCAGTGGGAGAAGATCCCAGTGAGAAAGAAACAAACTTTTCTTCTGGATGTTATGTAAACAGCACCACCACATCTTATGTTCTTGTCAAGGCAAAAGCGTACTGGCTTTTGTGACTACCTATTAGAGAAGTGGGATCAAATCGAACCCTTCATTAAAAATACCTGGAGCACCCGACAGTTCAATAACCAACTCCAAGTTTTGTGGCTTGAACCCGTCTCTACTTATCAGCTTCTTAGTATTATCTGTAGGTGATGACCTTAAAACTAACTTCATGTCAGTATCATTTCGCTGGTGCCATACTGTACCTTCAGTGGAAATGCTGACTCCTTTTCCAATTTGGCAACTCTCTTGGATTCAAATGGGCCAAACTGGGTACGTTTGACAAGCTGCGTCACTGCAAATACTCCTTCAGTCCCATCTTCTAGTTGTCTGATCTCCAGATTGGAAGGAAGGGATGACCTATTGAAAACAAAAATGAGAGAATCTAAATACCATGCAAAGTAGCTGTGCAGAACACAATTCTTGCAATGTCCAAAAGAAATCAGCACCCATTTCTCAATGCTGCAATGACAGGAAGTTGTTATGCTGAATAAAACTAGTTTCCATTGGAATTTTAAAAAAACAAACAAACAATGGAAACATTTCTACTGAGCTTCAATTCTATAAAAGCTGATTTTTAAAATAATTTATTTTTGGTCCAAATCTGAGCCCTTTTCAAAGATCACTTGCTTTCAAGATATTTTCCTCTTTAATCAGAATCTTTCCCATCTCTGATGTCAAATCCTGTCTCCTTTCTAAATCCAGAGGTTAGCAGTAGCTTTCCTTCAGATTATAGGTGCCTTGGTCATTGGTGCCTCACCATTTTTCCAAATCTGTTTTTAAGGGGAACCGTATCCAAATGTGACACACATTTGAAAATAACTTCCTGTGACGAGAGCCCCCATGCAGTTTAGGTAATAGTTGTATGGGAACTTGATGTAAAAGATTGTAAACCATTCTCCATTGTTCTTCAATACTGGTGTAACAAACAGAAGAAAAATATGTTGGTGTAAGAAGCCTAAGCATGCATTTATATTCAAGTGTTGCAGCCACACCCAGTAAATCTGTTTTCCTATTTAACTTATTGTGGCCCAAACTTTAGGCATAGAAATGGGGAGGAAGGACTGTATTTTTCTATACTATCCCCCTTCCAGCCCCTCATGAATGCCCCCAGTGAGAGCTGCGCTGAAAGGGCTTTGTAGAAGGGTAAGGAAAACAGACCAGGGACGGGCTGCTCTCCACAATACCATCCCTTCCTTTGGGCTCAGATTTCCTCATGCAAATCCGGGCAGCAAATAATACCGCTAGTGCTGTCATTGCCTTCCACTGAGCAGCGCTCCTCACCTGCAGGGGGACTGAGGCAATGGCAACTCAGCTTCAGTAACAGCTGTGTTACAAGAAAGAAAAGCCAGCGAGTTCCTTTCCCTCGATGCTCCCAAGTTCTCCACATGTGTGGGGTTGGCATGGGGCAGAGCCTCCAAATCCATGCACCTCTTCCTCCTCAATAACTCACCTCAGAAGGGAGGGATGGGGTAATTCAAAGTTTCTCCCCCCTGTGTTTTCCTACTGGAGGAGTGATTTGACCCCGTGCATTTATAGAACTGTAACCTTCAAAAAGTTATGCTGGCTAGTCAAATTTGGCCCAAATATAAGTTTTATAAAAGCAAGTTGTTACAAAGCCTATGCTCAAGGGAAATGGTTTCCAAACATTTTTAAAATTCCAATTAAGTCAAGTTTATAAAAAGACAAACGTCCCCCTGCATTGTTAGCTACGCAACTTTTCAACACCGCTCTAGTGCATGAGAACCTGAGAATGAAATTGGCTAGAAACCAACTATAAACAAAGGTGAATCTGACCAGTCTATTTTCACTGTCAAGGCTGAGAGAAATACAGAAAGTAAACCAATTAAACTTTTAGTGAAAAGCAAAGGAGAGTTTTAAAAGCAGTTTTAATATCCTAAGAGATCATGTTGTTATAAGAGAGGAAAGGACATTTGTTAGAATGGTGATCTTGTGGTTAAGTCACTGGACTGGTACTTAAGAGATCTGTGTTCCAGTCCCAGCTCTGCTGCAGACTTCCCATTTGACCTTAGGCAAGTCAATCTCGCTCAGCCTCAGCTCCCCAAATGTAAACCAGGGATGGCAATATTTCTCCCACCCGTTGCCTATCTTGTTTATTTAGACTGTAAGCTCTTCAGGACAGGGACCATCTCTTCTTATAATACATTTGTACAGCGACATCAGTTGGGTTATCTAAGCATTACTGTCATTGCTGGTGATATGAGGGGGGTGTTCATCCACCAGAGGCGCTATGAAGAAGAGAAAGTTGATATGGACAGTTTAGCTCTCAATGAGTCAGTTTGGTACTGATCAAACATTCACTGCATTGCCCCCATGCTATACGTTAGAGATCAGTATCCTTCTCTGATTTCCTGTGTTCCTACCATGTGTCTACAGCCATTATAAGCAAAAAAATCAAACATTCTACATCAGAATATAAACATTTAATGCTTCAATATAAAGTTTACTCCTCAATTTTGTTTTATCTTATTCCTAAATCTATATTTAATTTGTTATTTTCTTTTGGGGAGCATAAATATTTCTGCTATTGTATTATAGACCTAGATTTACTGACAAAACTGGGATTGATGATCACTCTTTACAAGATTTACAAAGATGGAAAAGTCCCCAAGTTTTGCTTCTCACAGTAGAGGAATTACAGAGGCAGTGCAAAGCTGTGTAACTCTTATTAACGCCACTGGGAAATTCCCATGAACCATTTTGAAATTTGAAAATGTAGTGCAGCACAGGTAAGGAGGAGGAACGGGATAAATGTCAAAGATTTTCAACCAATATAGGAAACAAGTCACCACCACAACTGGTACTATCTGACTCCTTTGTTGGCAATCTCTGAGAGTTGCCAAGGAATGCATAAACAGACTCTCTTAGGCCTTGTTTCAGCAAATCATTTAAGCATGTGCTTCGATTCTTTGTTTACTTGAGGCTGCATCTATTTTGCCGAGAGAGGACTTCATTTTTCAGCTGCCAGTCTGGCACCTTTCACAAAGACGAAATTCTCTTTAAAAAACAAACAAGCCATATAGTCATGCTAAAGTTACTTACCTTGCCCTGCTCAACACAAAGGAGTCTTTGACTGTCACCACGGGGCCCAGCTCAGGACACTCCGAATCATGGTACTGACCACAATCCTCGCACCCTGTAAGTAAACAGCACATAGAGCTGCAAGGTAAATGCTGTCCTTGGGCAGTGCTCTCTCAGTCAGCAGCCAGACAGAAAATTCGAACACTGAACTAATGACACACAATAAAGTAGTAAATTTTACTGCGCCCCAAAGGATATACACAATTGACTCAAAGGTATCATTCAACATATACCTAGGACTACCAGAAGACACTTTAAAAATGTAAATATTTTCCTAAAGAGAATATTTGCTAAACAAAACTCTAGTAAATATTTTGTTTAAAGGCAGGAGGATTTAAAACAACCACTGCGCTACTCTCTCTCGGCTAAAAAAAATCACTATTCTGTTCACTGGAGCCAGGGGTTTAAAATGCACAGTCAAAATCTGATGGGCTCTCAGAGACTCTGGGTAGCAAGCTCTGCCCACAGTTGTACCTATGCAACCCTCCCTTGCATGTGTATGGTGGGGGGGAAATCCGGCACTATGGCAACAGCTCTTCTGGACCTCTGGTCCCTTTCCAATGTAATCTGGCAATTCTTTATTATAGGACAAAATAATACAAGCTTTCAGTTCCCCTAATCTGACTTTTATTTTAAAATACTGTAAGTTATCCAGGGATAACGGGATCCCAAGAAACAACCTTTAGCCCTGGATAATGATAAAGTAAGAGTCAATTTAGGACTAGTTGAAACAAACATTTCTGTCATAAAGAGTTGTCAAAATGTTACTGTGAAGCCAGTTGATTGGATAGGGACAAGAAGTCATCACAGAGGGGATATTCCCCAGCTGCCAAATTCAAGTCAAACATGGGGAACCTGGAGGACTTCAGTAAGGTTGCCCAAGTATATTATTACATACCTGTTTGTAAATTAATGTGACACAGAATTTAATTCCAGACTGTAGCTAGTGAGAAAGAACACCTTGCTTTTACAATGGGAAACTAAACTCTCACCAGCAGTTTTCATGCCTGTGAAACTTACATAGCACTTCCTTAAAGGATTTGCTGTAGCTGAAGCTTTCACTTAATGATCAGCATTCGAATTAAGAGTGCCTGAAACTTGTGCAAAGATAGCACACGCTGTACAGCCTGGGCTCTCCACATTTCTTATTGTCCAGCACTATTTAGGAGTACAAGAAGCATATATCATTTTTGTTCATCCACTAGAGGATTAAAGATCATCGAAGTGGGGAACTCTAGCGTTTTCTGACATATGTCTCTGAAGTCTACAGAATCTGTACAGGATGCCTCATACCAGACCCTCCCCTGAATCGGAGTGCTCACCATATGTGATACTTAATGGCTTACGACCACAGAAGAAATACAAAGTCAGACACAAAGAGATAAACCGTAGATTTCTCTAAGGGGAGTGTATGCAGTTGGGCTTTAGCGGTGAAGATGCCTTTTAAAATTGAGTTTATGGTAGAAGAATAACTCTAATCAATACATATTTTAAAAGTACAAACCTTAATATATTTTGCATTTATATAATGCTTTTTATTCAAGGATCTCAGAGCACTCTGCAAACAACTAAATCTTAGTGACATATGAGGTGGGTATTACATCCATTTTGCAACTGGGTAAACTTTGGCACAGTCACTGGGAGAGTTATGAACAGAACACATGAAGTCTGCTTCCAATTCCCAGCTCTAACCACTAGACTACAACGCCCTCCACTGCAAATTCCTATTCCCTAATGACAGCTCAATCCTGCTCCCACTGAATTCCAAGACAGAATTCCCTGCTCCCACTGAAGTCGAAGTACGGGACTTTACGTGCATCTTTTCAGACACACGTGCTTAGTTTGCTGGCAGAAAGGAAAAAGTGTCACTGCTGTTGGCACTGCAAAGTCATCATAATTGCTGAAGAGCACCACATGTTATGTTTGGCCTCAGGTTTACCCACACGACTGTCAACCCTTATTTCTGGTGATGCTGCATGGAACAGAAAGAGACAGCCACAATTGTCAGGCCCCAGACTGAGCAGTAAGAGCTGGCATTTTAGAAACAAGCTGTCTGGCTTATAAACTGAGGTAACTGGATATGAAACTCACTGACAGTCAGTAACTATGGAAGCCCACAATGTCAGATCTAGAAATTCACTTTTCTGAAGCAGAAGCGGCCCTTAAATTCTGTGGAAAAATCTCACATAGGAGGCAAGAAACTTCATGAATTCATCCATCTTGTCCCATCTGGGGTTGCGGGAGGAGGGTTGTTTGACATACACCATCTGTGGAACTGGCAAGATAACTGGCCCCCCAAAACCCATAGAGATCAGAGCCTTTTTCTCTGCTTCCTAGTCCTCTCCAGTTTCTACAGCTCTTCTGAGGAGGGGCAGGGGAAGAAGGCTCCCTCTGGAGTTGAACAATCCAAATAAGACTATATCAACTGAAGCAGCATTACTGTTAGGGGGGGGAACCCCAGCAAATTTTGAAAAGCGAGAAGGCGCCCCAGTCAGTCGCGTCCTGACCTTTGGAGACCCAACCCTGAAGTGCACCTACCGGGACTG